CACAAAACCACATAAATTTGTATACATAGGCAGGGGTCGCGCAAAGTTGATTATTTTTATTCAGTGCTCATATAAGCACATATGTACATAACCCGATAACCAGTGCCCCGTGAACACCCTAATAATGATTTATTAGCCGGCTAATTTGTCATTTAAATAGAAATACCGTAAAAATATTTTAATAAAATATGAATTGTTTTTAAATATAAATAGTAAATTGCAGTTTTTTTATTTCTATTTAACTGACGAATTAGCCCGCTAATAAATTATTACAAAACATTTTGCGGAATCAAGTCCTAAGAGATTTTCTTTTTTCATGTCAGACGTCTATCCAAATGATGCTCAGATATTTTGCGGTATTTGATTTCGGATGTATAATATTATTAAGTTTGATTTCGGGGCAGGTGTCTCCTGTCATTGTAAATGTTCTTTTGATCTTATTTTCGTCTGTTCATGTAATAAATGTTGTTGTAATTGATAGTTAATACTTAATAGTTAATACTTGTTTCTTTTTTATTTAAAACTAAATTGAGGCGATTTGGCATAGAATTGACTAATGAATGTGAAATAGATATGTCAATTTTAACCCATTCACGTTTTATTGCCGATTTAAGGTGTCATGCTGTATTAAACTGTGTTCAATTTTTAAAATCATGGGCACAAAGGATCCTGTTATAAATCGTTGCTCAGCACAGCACAAAAATCGGCAGATCACCAAAGCTCCAAACCTTTTATTATAATTGTTACAGTCATCATATGAAATAATATGTCAAACATGTAAAGTTAAATAAAAAGTTAGTATGAGAATGAAAGATGAAGTGTTCATATGTTTTATTTACTACTCTAATAATAATAAAACAAACCTTTGTTATGTTCACACAATAAACCTTAATTTTTATTAAATTATTTTTAATAACTAAGTTTCGACAAAACTCAAGGAAATAACAATTTCACAATACTTTCTATTTAAAGCGGTTCATTTATTAATAAAAAAGTCAAAGCAGAACAATATGGTATGTGCAACGATATATAACAAAATGTGAAAAAACAAACACCACCGATTCAGCATCCAATCATGTTGCGATCTTAAAAGACGACTGCTGGCTCTTTTCAAAATTTAAAATTTTGTAAATTCGCATTAAGAAAGCGATGGGCCACGTTGGTTATATTGATTTCCTACAACATGCTCCGCCTGTTGAAAGGACCCTTTCAAAACGTTTAATAGATAGGGAGTGGTGCAATTTTGTGGATAGGCCGGCGAAGCACATCCTGGTAAGTGCAAATATTCTAGTGTCATACTAACCATGACCACACACAATAGGGGTATTCAGGCAGCACATTAGTTGCTTAGTAGATTATTGCAACAAAAATTTGCATACAAATAGAAACTAAGCAGAGAATCTACTTTTTCGGAGATTCTCAGATTAGTGAAAATTTGATTAATAGTGCTGCCAGTACCAAGTGTCGGCGCTATGAACATAGGGTGTCTCAAAAAGAAAATTCAAAAATAATAACATAAATTAATAAATAAAATTTAGTAAAACTATAATTTTTAAAGGGATAAAATATAACATATATATAAAATATAAAGATAAAATTGAATATTCTACTTCTTAACACGTTGTAATGTAACAAAAAAATTGTGTAAATTTTAACATGTAATAATAAATAAAATGATATTAAAATTTACAAATATTTGAGTATTTCACTATAAAAATATGTTTCGCTTTTGCTGTTGATACGAATGCTGTCAACGCATTTGCACACAACAAAATAATCAGATTGCGCATTTTAGGTCGTTCACGCAACAGATTATCATCAAAATGATAATATTTTTTTATAAGAAGTTTTTTAATCTATTAAGCAACTAATCTGTTGCCTGGTATGTCATACGAGAGAGGAAAACGTTGTATGACACACAGGTATAATAGTCTGCACCTCTCACCAACATGTTGGCGTGCTCACCAAAATTTTAGTGAGCAGCTCTCGCCAACGTGTTGTGTATGATAGTCTGTCACCCCTAACGATTCATACGTCATTCAAGACCATTTTCACCTTTCAAATTTATTGTAAGCAGGCAGAATATGTAGAATTGTAATATAAATTTAATACGTTTTTTTATTATTTTATTATTAATGTATTTATTATTATTATTTATTATTATTAAAATTGCATTTATAAATTTGTGTTAAATATTTAATTGTATTTTAGTTAAAAAAAATATAAATTTTTAAATAAAATTCTTATAAAAAATTAAAATACAATTAAATATTTTATTTAAGTTACTAAATATTTTATTTAATTTTACCATTTTTCAATTTATAAACGATGATTATTTAAAAAAACATCTAAATATAAACATCTGTAAGGATGGAAATTTACACTAAATTTCCACCTACATAAACGCTACATAAACGTGCACTAAAAACAATAACAACTCGAACTAAAACACAATAATACAACACAGTTTTTTATAAAACAATACACTTTATATATTTATATTTAAACTTGGGAAAAATGGACTCACTGGTAATAAATGTTGCAAATATCTGGAATTAAATAGATTAATTAATATTTAAAATATTTAGTCAAAACAATTTACCAAAACCCAAACCGCTTACAAGCCTTAATAACACCTCAAACTAAGCTGAAATGATATCGAAATGAAATATAAAAATAAAATTAAATAAATGAAAAATAAACTCACCTTATTCATTTGTTAATTATATTTCTTATTTCTATGTTGTAAATTGTTGAATATTTGCAGTTTTAATATTTTATTTTATTGTAACAAACAAAATAAATAAAACCCACCACCGATCGAATGTAGCTTTAAAACACGTTTTGTAAGAATCAAAACAAAGCAGCGTTAACATAAGAAAACAACAACTGCCAAAAATATTCGCCGTAAGAGAAGCTCATAGAGAAGTTAAATGCACAAGCTGAGTATCGCACAAACATGAAATAGAAAATCAGAACGGCAAAAATTAAACAAGAATTACATGAGATCAGCTGTAAATAAAATGATACGCTACGAAAAAGCTCGGTCGAGTGCGTATATAAGATGCGCATTTTTCTTATAGAGTTGACTTGTAAAATATTTACTAAGGCTCATACATCTGGGGATTACAAGTTGAAATTAGCACTAGTTGCACATAGAAGAATTTCGATATAAAGAAATTATTCATACGAAGGAATATATATAATTTAAATATTTCCCTACGATCGGCTGTAGTACGCCTACTGTAAAGAAATAATTTATAATAATATACAAAGGAATATATCCACATCAGGATATATTCATACGAAGGAATATTTTTGAATTTAAATTATTACACTACGATCGGCTGTAGTACGCCTACTGTAAGTGAATAGTTTATAATAATACACCAAGGGATATATCCACATCAGGATATATTCATACGAAGGAATATATTGAATTTAAATTATTACACTACGATCGGCTGTAGTACGCCTACTGTAAGGAAATAATATATAATAATATACAAAGGAATATATCCACATCAGGATATATTCATACGAAGGAATATTTTTGAATTTAAATTATTACACTACGATCGGCTGTAGTACGCCTACTGTAAGTGAATAGTTTATAATAATACACCAAGGGATATATCTACATCAGGATATATTCATACGAAGGAATATCTTGAATTTATAATAATATACAAGGAATATATCCACATCAGGATATATTCATACGAAAGA